CCTTTCGCCTCCCTGCATTGTGCCTACATATGCAAATTAACCACCATCTTTGTTGGCGGTTAACCGCCATCTTAGTTGGCAGTTAATTTGCATATTGCCCTGATTAGCCAATGAAAAGGGTAGCGGTCGTACGCTAATTACCATGTTTCTCTTTTATTAGACTAGATGCTCCAAGTCACTAATCATCGAAGAGATGCAAATTAAAACGACAATGAGGTACCATCTCACACCTGTCAGAATGGCTACCATCAACAAATCAACAAACAACAAGTACTGGCGAGGATGTGGAGAAAAGGGAACCCTTGTACACTGTTGATGGGAATGCAGACTGGTGCAGCCACCAAAGAAAACAGTATGGAGTTTCCTCAAAAAATTAAAATGGAACTGCCATTTGACCCTGTAATCACACGTCTAGGAATATGATCTAAGAAGCCTGAAACACCAATCAGAACGAATACATGCACCCCTATGTGCATAGCAGTGCTATTTATAATAGCTAAGATCTGGAAACAGCAGCCCAAGTGCCCATCCGTAGATGAGTGGATAAAAACAGTCCCGGACACTGTTCTGCATGTGGTACATTTACACCATGGAACACTACACTATGCAGCTGTGAAAAAGGACTTCCTACCCTTTGAGACAGCTAAACAGAGTAAGCCAGTCAGAGAAAGAAAAGTATCATATGATCTCCCTTATATTTGGAATCTAACAAACAAAATAAACTCATGAACAAAATAGAGCCAGAGACATAGAAGCATGGAACCAATGTCCATGTATAACTCATGGACACAGACAATCGTGCAGTTACGGGTGGGGGGGGGGAGTTTTGGGGGAAGAAAAGGGATATCTGTAATACTTTCAACATTTTTTAAAAAGATGAAGGATGGAGAAGAGGATGATGAGCCACTGCATTAATGAGTCTTGGATACTGTTCTGCATTGGTAATTCCTACTGCGTGAGATAACAAATGCCCTTACTGTCTAAGCCAGCTGGAGTCAGGGCTGCTGCCCTTTGCATCTGAAAGCGTCCTAACTGGTGCCATTTTCCAGGGAGATCACCACGGGTAAACAAACTCCTACCCGTGGTTCAAATCCAGCCACCACCTGTTTTTGTCAGCTGCTCTCATACATTCATACATTTAGGTGCTGTTTGTGGCTACTTTCGTGCTAAGATGGCATCCTTGTTTGCGGCAGAGACTATATGGCCCACAAAGCCCTAAACATTTACCATCTGACCCTTTCAGAAAATGTTTGTAGACCCCGAGACAGGCTATTCACATAAGGAAGAACCTGCCATGTTTGCAAATTTCCATGTTTTGAGCTCCTTTGTGCCTCCTTTTAGCATTTTAACATTTACATTAAAGAATGGGGGGGGGGGGATTTCCCCGTAGGGTGTAAAATGAAGTCAGAAACTCGTTCATTCAGTGGAGTCACATGACACCGTGTCTCCATGTGCGAGGCACGCCAGGCTCTGTTGGTAGTGCTGGGATACAGCAGGAAGGACACGGACAGAATCCCAGTCCTGGAGCCTTCTGATGGACAAAGCGCTCATCTGCATATCCGATGCCACCACTGCAGGACCAATTAAGTCCCCGGGGAAGTGAAGAGAAGGAGCAGGGCTCCCCCACTTCTCACCCCGCTCCCAGCTGTGCCCACACAGACACACCCCACTTTTGGCCCCTGTGACTTAAGTGAGCCGCTCCACTTTGGGGTCTGGGGTGCTCAGAGAGAGGAAGAGGGCTGGGAACAGCGGGGTGACCGAGAGCTGCTCAGCATCCTTGTCAATATGGCACGAAAACAGTAAAATGCCTTTTGGTTCTTGTGGTCCTGAAATTCCCATTTCCTTGTGACAGTGATCACCAAGTGAGTTCTCGCCCAGGGACAGGAGCCCCTCACTGTTTTTGAGACGTGGATGTTGGCTGACTCCAGCACTGCGTGTCAGGCGACCAGGGGCTTCAGCCCCACTAAGGTCCTGGGAGCAGGGCTTTCACAAATTCAGTCTAGTGGCTGCAGAGGGCCCAAGGGACTTCTTGCCAGCTCCTTCACCAAGAGCCCGTTCCCAGGATGACTAAGCCTGAGCTATCGATATTCAAAAAGGACGATCCATGGTTTTAATGTAAAACTATTCCTGAAAGACACAGTGTTACCGCCGTTAGCTACTTACTGATGGGAACAGAAGCCAAGGATGTCAGACACTGTTGAGCATATTCGGCTGGGAAGCAGGGGCCCGTTTGCCCCACCAGGAAGCTACGGCTTCACACCCCAAGAAATTGCAGCATTGTCCCTCCAAGGGCGTCAACACCCTTCTCTTCCCCACTCCAGGACCCGATTGTGTGTGGAGCAGGGGGAGATATGGACATGCTTGGTAAAGTCAAAATGGTGCAGAGGAGGTGCCTGACCCCAGAGGCCTGTCAGTCTAACCGGGGAAAGCCATTGTCAGGCCCAGCAGAAACCCTTGAAACCTTGGGAAGCTAATTGGTTATTTTGAACAAGCTCCTGGTTATAATCCCAGGAGACAAAGAGCTCTCTCTCTCTCTCTCTCTCTCTCTCTCTCTCTCTCTCTCTCTCTCTCTGTCAGATTGATTCAGCAGGTGCAGCAGGCTTGGGCAGGGCTGAACTTCCTAGTCCTGCCATAGAGACACGGCCTCAGAACGGCCGAAGGCAACCATTGACATGGAGGCAAATTCCTGGTCCCTATAGGGCTGCAGATGAGCCAGGGGCCACCCCAGTGATACAAATCCTGTCACTCATATTCTTTCTCATGAACTGAGATGCTGCTATGCAATGAACTATCTTCCCCAAGGGGCTCCCCTAAGATTCCCACCTGCAAACGAGATTAAAAACCCCAAGACAAAGGGCCAGTGCATGCGCTCTCCCGCTGGGGAGCATGTCCACACCTTCCCCTTCCCCGTCCTCTCTCCCACAGGCATGCATCTCCTAAACGCTAAGGATCTCTACTCTATTTCCCATCCCAGTGTTCACAGAGGACAGCACAGGAGCGCTAGCTAGCCTTGAGGACAAATAAATTATTCCCCATTTCGTGCTTGAGATTCTGGATAATTCTGTACTATCAAAAATAAATCATGCCACTTACCTGGCCACTCAACCTTTTTTTTGCCTTCAAATATTCTCCTTTGTCTCTGACTATTATCGCCTCTTTACCTTGAATACTTTTCTTTTTCAGTCTTATTTCTTCTCTCTCCGAGTTTATTTTTGTATAAGTCTCATTGATGTAAATAGCGGCGATGGCTTTTTTTCCCATCGCGTGGTTGAGTAACACAACAAGCTTTTCATGCTTCTTCGCCAGCTCCTTTTGCTGTTCACTAGGAGAGAAAAAAACATTCTCATGGCATGAAAAGTATGGCTTTTGGGAAAGGAACTTAAAGTCTATTTGGTGAAATCAACCACCATAAAGGGGGAAATTGTAAGGCATACTGATTTTAGAACTGTATTTGTAATCGCCTAAACTTGGTTGAGATGAGGGCAGATGGATAACACAAGTGTTAACCTTGTAACTATTTACCAAGTAAGAATATCATGTGGTCCTGCCTCACCACACCCATCCCCACAGAGCAGGTAGTGTCTGGCCCATTTGAAATGAATAAAACTAAAGAAAAAAAAGACCGTACCCTTTTATGTAATGATGTTTACTTTGAATTTATATTAGTTCACACAAACACTCCATCCATGCTTTTGTTCTGGCCCTCCGGTCCAGTTTAAGAACCCATTGTGGCCCTCGAGTCAAAAAGTTTGCCCACCCCTGGTCTATGGGATGTTTTGGGTTAAAATATGCAATGACTCAAAAAACAGTTTGGAGCAAGTAAATAAAACCTGGCCAAATGGTTTGCTATGTAGCACTGCTGTTATGTACCTTATCATCCTGAGATCTGTAGCTAAATCAAAGAAATATATACATCCCGCCACCCCACCGGCCACCTTCTGATGCCAGGGCCTGCAGGGAGGACCCGGGAGAAAGCTCGCCTCCCTCCGATGGACAGGAGTTAGGCGAGGAGAGGGTCCATCTTCATTGTTCAGGGGATGCTTGAAACCTAATGTGAACCCTCTTATCTCCCACCGGCTGCAGCCAAATCTGAGTTCAAAAGTAGACAATACCTTCACCGGTCAGTTGGTCACATTCACTGGAGGAAGACCTTGAGGCTGCTAGAAACATCTCCGCCAGGGCTAACCATAAAAGGTGTAGGAAGAATAACTGCCACAGTGTCTGAGACAGGCCAGTAAGCCAGGGCAAGTGGAACAGGGAAACTGAGGCAGAGAGCTGAACAAACTGGCCGAGGAATTTACAGCCAGACACAGCAGGTCGCCTCCCTGGAGATGACATCTAGGCCTCAGTTGTATTTCAGCTCCAGGCCCAGAAAAGCGGCACAACCGGGTGGGTGATGCCAGGGCCTGCTGCAGTGACTGACCCCTGCCCTGCCAGTAAAGACCGTGACCCTGGAAGAGCACTCCTGAAAACTGATGAATTTTCTGTGGAAACGACGCCCTGAGACCTCCCCTAAGATTCCTGCCTGCAAAAGAGAGATAAAAACCCTCAAGACAAAGGACCCAGCACTGTGCTCTCCTTCTGGGAACATGTCCACGCCTTCCCCTTCCTCTTCTTTCCCCACAAGCATGCATCTCCTAAACCCTAAGGAACCACGTGAGGCTTGCAATTAGCACCCCTTTGGTGCTAATGGGCAGTGGCAGCTCTCACCTGGGCTAGCCTAACCCTCTGAACCTGTCTGCAAGGCCCCCTTTCCTCTGACTTCCCAGTGAGCCAAAGCAGCCCAGTGGAGGCTCTCCTGTTGCTGCTTCTATGCTAAGCCCTTACTTCACTGTCCCCAGCTTTTGTTGTTGTTGTTGTTTTTTGTTCCCAGCTTTGATAAACGTACCCTCATAGTCACCTGGACTTGTGCTGTGAAATCTTTCCTGCACAAAGTCAGAAACCCACACACTACCGGCCAGCCCTAGGCAGACCCCCTCAGGGCCAGGTCCCTGTCTGATAACATTTCTATATTTTCCTTTTTAAAAAGCTCCTGCAATGTACACACTGTTTTTCCAGTCCCCAGGGCTAAACATTTTAGTTCAGGTGGTTGTGTGCAAAGGTTCAGGAAAATGGAAACGGATTGTTGGTCAGTTCGATTTCCAGAGGTCAACTCCACCACGTAAATTCAATAAACAGAAGCCCAGGCTAGAGGGAGTCAAATCCTGGGTGCTTTGTGGTCTAGTAGAGGAAGCCTTCTAGGAATGAATCGACCTAGGGATCGAGTAGCCTCAGGGAGACAGAGCGAAACAAGTCAAATGAAAAACCCTAACTGGGAGCACTGGGGCGGGCTGAGAAGCGGGCCCTCAGAAACCGGAGGGGACGTGCAGCCTGAGGAAAGCACGCCAAAGAGCTTGCAGGGATCCAGCTTGCGAGAACTGTCCAGGAGAGGGCCACCTTCTTTGAAAAACGGGCACAACGCACAATTGTAGCTTGATGATACCATATCATCAAGCCCCCACGGTATGTTTGTAATTTGCCTTACCATAAGGATGTCTCTACAGCAGTGATTCCCAAAATGTGGTCAGGACCTCCCAGCAGCGGCAACATTACCTGGGAACTTGTCAGAAATTCCAGTTCTCACCCTCACCTCCACCAAGTCAGAAGTTCAGCGGGTGGATGTCCCCAGCAATTTGCATTTTCACAAGAACCCCAGGAGATTCTGGTGCACCATGAAGTCTGAGAGTCACTGGTCTGTAGGGAGGTGATGGTGCTGGCCAGCTGATACGAGTATTGCAGCTTGGAAATGGACAGTCTAGTGTACTCGGCAGTGTCCGGCACTTGTGGCTGGCACGCGTCACATACAAGTCTGCACTGGGAAGCCCCAACAGGGGTTGGAGAATGAGTATTTCTCAAACTTATGTGATGATGAACTTTCTTTTTCATGGAGCATCTCCCGGAACAGGTGTTCTGAGAGCCTATTTCTGGAGGAGTCTCTGGGTCTTGAGGTCTCCACCTTATTCCTTGTGCTTTGAAATCGTGTGCACCAAGCAATCCTCTGATTATTTTAGCTTCCCAAGAGGATTTTCCTGCTACGATGAGGGCTCTTTGAAAACTTCTCATTTTGACAAACTGACCTTCTAGTATTTACAATTCGCCTTGCAAATTTGCTCACAGAACTGAGTTGCTCTTCAGAGGTTTAGTTTTGCTTTTTTCCCCCCAGAATATCTCTCTTCCTCCATGAGATGGGTAAATCAAGACTTGTAATCCCCATTTAACAGATGGAGAAAATGGGACCCCCAGGGGTGAAGTGCTAGCAACACAGCCAGGAATAAAGGAAAGAGACTAACAGGTGTCAGATCCTCTCTTGGGAACATAATCCAGTCTTAGATTATGACTGACTATCATCAAGGAACTAAACTAGCTACCATCTATCTGGCTTGATGCTATATTACACCCAGCAAGCTTTCTTCCTTTGGTGGGTGAAGTTTGTAAATTTAATTTTACTAAAATGGAAACCATGTGCCTCTGTCTGTGGAGGCAGTGTGCAAAGCACTGTGGGATTTACACACAGCAGCTGCTTCTCAGAAGCTGGGTCAGAGGACAAAGCCCTTAGGACAGGGGTGGGCAACCCCTGGCACGCGTGCCAAATATGGCACACCAGTAACTTTTGCTGGCACGCGAAACCCTCTCTTACAATCTTCCATTTACAATTTTTGTGAACATTTGAATGACTTAAATGTTAAATTACAAGGAACTGGCAAGACACTTGATGTTATCTTTGGTTACATAAAGGCTTTTGAAAAGAAACTGGAAGTCATTAAGAGGGATGTGGATGGTGAGAGATTTTGATATTTCCCAAACCTCAAGAGGCACATCAAAGACCTCCCAAAAGATGACAGAACAGACTGTCAAAGCCTTCAAAAGCTGTTTTTAAACATCATCAAGTCAACTATTGAGCAGTTCTTCTCAAGATTTGCGAAATTCAGAGAACTGGAAGAGACAGCAAAATTCACGAGGTTTCCAGACAGCATGAAACTGGAGGAACTAAACTTACAAATATTTTCATGGATAGACATGGCTGACTTTGAAATGCAGTTGATTGAATTTCAGAGTAGCTCAATTTGGAAGCAGAAATTTATTGACTTTAGAGTTGACTTAGAAAACATTGAAAAAAAGTGATTAGAGACAGGAGTACCAGAGAGAAGTGTCGAAAACGAACTATTGAGGACTTGGAATGCCATTCCAGAGAATTTTTTCTGTTTAAAAAACTTTGCAACAGTGTTACTCTCCATGTTTTCATCCACATACACTTGTGAATCTTTGTTCTCAGTGATGAATTTTGTTAAGTCTTGTAATAGTAGCCTGACGGATGAAAGTAGTAGCTCGTGCATATCTCTGAAGGTCACGAAATATAAACCTGATGTAAAATCTCTGTCATCAGTGATGCAGCAGCAAAAGTCCCACTGATAATATCAAACGAAGTCATAAAGTTTTCTGTCGGACTATCAGTGTACATGTATACATTAAAAAATAAATGTACTTTTCATCATCATATACTGTTTTTGTCGCTCGAATGAATTTTATTATTTCTTCAAGGTTCTTCACATACATACACCTAAGGAGATATCAAGTAGGCGTAACATGTTCTCAAAAAATTAGGGTTGGCACGCAGAAGAATTTTGAGTCAGAGATTTTGCTGGTTTTGGCACGCGCTCACTAAAAGGTTGCCCACCCCTGCCTTAGGACATTTTTCCCGCTCCGGCCCCAGACCTCAACTCCCTCTGGTATTGAACAGAAGAGAAATACCTACCCCAGATCATTATTAGTATCTTTCAAATCAACCATTTTCTTCTTCAGAAACTCTATTTCCTTATTTAACCTTGCAACTTCCATCCGTAATTGTTTTATCTCAAGAAGGTTTAATTTGCGAGCAGCAATGACAAATTCTTAAAAGTAAGTGGAAATATTTACTGTTATTTGAGAAACAGCACAATTGTAGACACTAACTTTTCAAATCATGGACAAATTGCCTTTCTTTGAAATATTCTTTAAATTGTGTTTCTGTATCACAGCACCTCTTCTTTACCCCTTTGGACCCTCTCAATCTTATCTATCAATTATTTCTCTTATTATTTCAGTTGCTGCTATGGTGACCAGCTTTCTATGGGCTCTGAGCAACTTGAGACTGGTGCATCTGACAGCCCCTGATGCCTGCTTTTTCCATCCACTCCTCACCTTCTGCTTGGCACTTCCCTGTTGCCTTTATCATGGGACTTTTTTTAATTTTAAAATATGCCTTTATTTGAGAGAGAGAGGAAGAGACAGAAATATTAACGAGAGAGAAACATAGGCGGGCTGCCTCCTGCATGGGGATTGAGCCCGAAACCTGGGTATGTGTCCTGACTGAGAACTTCTTTAGATACCCACAGCCATGCATGTGGAATGCAAAGCGCAGAAGTGGGGCAAAACATTGGACCAGAGATCAACCGGAGCCTACTAGTACCTGGATGGTCCTGAGAAGAGGTAACTGTCTTAGGGGCATGTTCTCCTACTTCAATAGTTGCATTTGACAACAGTCAACATCATATTGTACGGCATATTAGCTCTCCCTTCTCCCCACTTTGGTCTCTGTACCCTTCTCTCCTCCTTCTTGAATTGTACTGCCTAATAAAACATAGTGCAAAAGCCATTGCCTCTGATTCTGTTGTCTAGGGAACTCAGTGTGTTAAAAACATACATTAATTATTCACCAGTAAATAACAAATCAGTGTAATCACGTGAGACTTCAGAAGACTATCTCAGTGCATGACAGACAGATGGTAACAATGCATGAATTTTGAATACGGCTGTTTAGCAAAGTCCCGGATGACCCATTTCTACACATACAATTTCCTAGAAATGAACTGCTATCTTCCCTGAGAGAGCTGGGTTATTTTTTCTAGGCTACTAGTTCAATTGTCCATTGTAGCAGGACTTCTCAAACTCTCTGTCTCAAATCTGCACATGCAACACCTGGGGATCTTGTTGAAATATAGGTTCTAATACAGCAGGTATGGGATGAGCATAGAGACTGCATTTTGTAACAGGCTCTCAGGTGATGCTGATGGTGCAGATCCAAGAACCATCTTTTGAGTAGCAAAGCTTGATTCATAAGGCCAATTAAAGTTACGTGGTTAAGTAGTCAGCATGTATCAAGGACCTTATAGGCTCATATGGTATTTTTTTTCTTCTAAAATATTTTTTTCCTGATTATAAAAGTAACTCAACCTAGAAATAAAAAAAAGCAACCGAAGAAAATAAAACAAAAACACTCTTAATTATGCCTTTGGTGAGGATTTCTTCCAAGGATGATTCTTCTCTGCATGTATAGTTGGTTTTAGTTTCCCTGCCAACTTAGACTAACATTGTGCATATTGTTTTATAACCAACTGTATCACTCAGGGTCCAATTAGGTCATAGGAATCTTATATAAGTTGATATAAAATTATTGATTATAACAGGATTAGAGAAATGAGGGAATGAATAGTAAGAAAGTAAAGAGAACTCTTAAGAATTTAGGAGCAGCAGGCATAAGGAACAGCCACCATGCCCAGGGCTGAGACAGAGTGCCCTCGGAGAAGCAGCACCTCACACATGAGATCCAGACCTCATTGGAGGTGGCTGTGGCTCATTGCATGGCTCAAAGATGTTCATTAAATACTGGGCTGGCAATCTGGCTTCTGAGGTGTTGGGGGAATCTGTCCAAGGGAGGTGCCATACTTTAGAACTCACTGAAAACCACCCAAGGGTGCTGGGGAAGCTGTGCATTAATTACAATAGCCATTGGTGACTGGATGGATAAATATTATACATTCACACACACTCCCTTATTTCCTCAGGAATACTGTTCAATCTTAAAAAGGAAGGAATTCTGACACATGCTACAACATGGATGAACCTTTAAGGCATTATGCAAGTGAAATAAAACAGTCACACAAGGACAAATATTGTGTGATTCCACTTATATGAGGTACATATAGTACCCAAACTCATAGAAAACTGGTGATTTAGGCCAGTCAAGCTGCCTAATTTAGTTGGATAAATATCAATTTGGAATGGGCTGATCTATAGATCTTTAGTCTATTTATAAACTAAATTATATAAATATATATATACCCAGTGCACAAAATTCATGCACTGGGGGGCGGGGGATGTCCCTCAGCCTAGCCTGCACCCTCTCCAACCTGGGAGCCCTTGGGGAATCGGGTCTAAACTGGCAGTCGGACATCCCTCACAATCTGGGACTGCTGGCTCCCAACCGCTCGCCTGCCTGTCTGATTGTCCCTAACTGCTTCTGCCTGCCAGCCTGATCACCCCCTAACCACTCCCCTGCCAGCCTGATTGATGCCTAACTGCTCCCCTGCTGGTCCGGTCGCCCCCAACTGCCCTACCCTGCCGGCCTGGTCACCCCTAACTGCCCTCCTCTGCTGGCCTGGTCGCTCCATGCAGGCCATCTTGTGATGACATGGGTGGGGCCATCTTTTTTTAAAAATATATTTTATTGATTTTTTACAGAGAGGAAGGGAGAGGAATAGAGAGTTAGAAACATCAATGAGAGAGAAACATCGATCAGCTGCCTCCTACACATCTCCTACTGGGGATGTGCCCGCAACCAAGGTACATGCCCTTGACCGGAATCAAACCTGGGAACTTTCAGTCCACAGGCCGATGCTCTATCCACTGAGCCAAACCAGTTAGGGCAGGGGGGTGGCCATCTTGGGATGCCATGGGGGCAGCCATCTTGTGCAAGAGTGTGACAGTCAATTTGCATATTACCTCTTTATTATATAGGATATGATTTCCACTTAAAATGCCACTATATTTGTGTCTCACTGTGTTTGTGTCATGTACTCTTCTAGCTTATTTTGAGATGAAATACCTAAGCTAACCTTACTTAATAATAAATTAAACTCATCTTTTTACAAGGACTTCATTCTATTTTTTTTTTAATGAAAAGTGTTTAATGTTGATATTATTGCAGGTGTCCCCCATCTCCCCCTTCTTTGACCACCTCTACCCCTCACCCCCCTGCCTTGGCCTTCATCACACTGTCGTCCACGTCCATGGAGAAAGCATATATGTTCTTTCGCTAATCCCTTCACCTTCTTTACCCAGTCACCCTCAAAATACCTTCGAGTTCTGTGTTAATGTGATCAGGAAGAGTTTCCAATAGAAAATATTGTCTACTGAGTTCCATGCTTTCAATTTCCAGAAGTTCAATTGTAGCTCTTCTCATTTCTTCCTAAAGATTTAAATTACATATTAAAATAATAAAATTTATCTCCTAAACAATGCCCTATAAATGTTTTCAAAGGTCAAAATGTAATTTTCATTAAATATCTTCTGCTGCTATTTTTATTTGGAATAGAAAGTAGGAAACATAACTACAATCAGTTTTAAGGTGTCACTGTTAATTTATTTTTTAACTTCCACTTATTTTCTCCTACTCAGAAATCATCTTTCCGTATGTGTGTTTCCTATTTGCAGTTTCAATCAATTTAAAGACTTCAACAAAAAGGGTAACATTGAGAAAGAAAACTACTTAATTAAAATTAGAAAATGCCTATAAAAATATGCTTATGTATAAAGAGAACAACAGTTCTCTTTACATACCTACAAATCCAAACAAAAAGTCAGATAAGCCTGTTATTATTGTTGTTATTATTATTAATTCATAATTTTTTGGGGAGGGGTTATCTGAAAAAGAATAAAAATCTGTTCATGGAACAATAGATGAAATCATCTTTTAAATAAATGGCTGCAATGGCTGCAATGGCTATAGGTATTTTATGACCTGAGAAGTTACTATTATTTTTATTAATAATGAAAAGCAGGTTACATAATTGTATGATCATGTTTCTTTAAAAAATAAAATTCAATACAGGCATCATCTATACTCTGAAAGTAGGAAGAACATTCATCAGGAGTTAACTGTGATTATTGTAGGGTGGTGGGATCATCGTGGTTTTTACTTTCTTCCTTTTGCTTATCTAATTTTTTTTCTGTTTTCCAGAGTAAACTTGTGTGCTTTTATAATAGCGAGAATGTGCTACTTTAAAAAATGGAAGGATTTATCTCTAAGAGATTTCACAGGTCAGATATTAAATGGAGACATACTAGATACTTTAATAAGTCACAATAAATACTTTGATCCCTTCAATCCCTAGAGAAAAACATAACTGAAAACAAAGCAGAAGAAGAGGTTTTCATGAGATCACAATGCAGTACAACATGCATAAACTCTAAAGAGTATGTATTCTACTAGTATATGCATATACTCTACATGTATTCAAATAAGTATAATTATAAGGTATAATTTTATAGTATACATACACAACTATATATAACTAGAGGCCCATGTGCACAAAAATTTGTGCACTCGGGGGGAATCCCTCAGCACGGCCCGTGCCCTCTCTCAGTCTGGAAAGCCTTGGGGGATGACCACCTGATGGCTTAGGCCCGCTTCCCGGGGGATAGGGCCTAAGCTGGCAGTCAGACATCCCTCTGGCAGCCCGGGAGCCCTTGGGGGATGTCCACTTGCCAGCGGGGAGCAGGCCTAAGCTGCAGTTGGACATCCTTAGCACTGCTGAGGAGGCAGGAGAGGCTCCTACCACCACCACTGTACTGGCAGCCGTCAGCCTGGCTTGTGGCTGAGCAGAGCTTCCCCTGTGGGAGCGCACTGACCACCAGGGGGCAGCTCCTGCATTGAGCTTCTGGCCCCTGGTGGTCAGTGTGTGTCATAGTGACCAGTCATTCCCAGTCGTTCTGCTGTTAGGGTCAATTTGCATATTACCCTTTTATTATAAGGATAGAGGCCTGGTGCATGGGTGGGGGCCGGCTGGTTTGGCCTGAAGGGTGTCCCGGATTGTAGTGGGGGGTCCCGCTGGGGTGCCTGGCCAGCCTGGGTGAGGGGCTGAGGACCGTTTTCAGACTGGCCACACCCCATTCAGGGTGAGGGTCCCCGCTGGGGTGCCTGGCCAGCCTGGGTGAGGGGCTGATGGCTGTTTGCAGGTTGGCCACAGCCCTTTCATGGTGGGGGTCCCCACTGGGGTGCCTGGCCAGCCTGGATGAGGGGCTGAGGGCCGTTTTCAGGCTGGCCACACCCCCTTCAGGGTCAGGGGTCCTGCTGGGGTGCCTGGCCATCCTGGGTGAGGGGCTGATGGCTGTTTGTAGGCTGGCATAGCCCCCAGCCACCCAAGCTCCCAGTGGAGGCTGGCTGGAAGCAGGTATCTGGGATTTATTTATCTTCTACAGTATAATTGAAACTTTGTTGCCTTGAGTGGAGGCCACAGCCGACCAGGGCAGGCGGGAAGGTTGGCTTTCTCCATCGCCAGGGCAACCAAGCCTCCTGCTTGCTCCATCTCCGTGGCTGCCAGCTGCCATCTTGGTTGGGTCAATTTGCATATAGTCGCTCTGATTGGCTGGTGGGCATGGCTTGGGGAGTATCAGAGGTGCAGTCAATATGCATATTTCTCTTTTATTAGATTAGATACTAGAGGCCTGGTGCACAGATTCATGCAGCAGTGGGGGTCCCTTGGCCTGGCCTGCAGGGATCAGGCCAAAACTGGCCCAGTGCATGAATTCATGCACTAGTGGGGTCCCTCCCTGGGCTTGGCTGCAGGGATCAGGCTGAAACCAGCTCTCCGATATCCCCCGAGTGGTCCTGGATTGCTAGAGGAAGCAGGCCAGGCCAAGGGACCCCACTGCTGCATGATCGGGGCTGGGGAGGGACTGTGGGAGGGCTCCAGGGCATGTCCGGCCCATCTCACCCAGTCCCAATCAGCTGGACCCCAGCAGCAAGCTAACCTACTGGTTGGAGCATCTGCCCCCTGGTGATCAGTGCATGTCATAGTGACTGGTCGAACGGTTGAACAAACGGTCGGACACTTAGCATAATAGGCTTTTACTACATAGGATAATTGTAAAGTAATGAGATTAACTTTTATTAGCAGTCTCTAGACCCAAACTCATTTACTTTACAGTCATATTGTTATATGTTTAGATATTTGATAGGTAATAGATTCTTATTCAATATTTTTAAATCAAACAAAGAGACCTCACTATTCTAACCCTTCTGGTGAAGCACTGTAAATGTCACCCAGGACCAAAGAGAAAAGTTTGTGACTTCAATAGAAAATTATTTAAATATTTCTTTGTGGGGTTGAGTTAACATAACCAAAAGAATTTCTGTTTATTTATTTTCACTGAACAGCAAGATCTACTTCAGGGAAATGGGTGCAAGAATTGCTTATAGAGAACTGAGTTCATTGGTACCACACATGCAATTTATTTCAGAGGTTGTCTGTCTTAACCAATACTTACATATTGGTGTCCTAAGCATTCGCCCATTTTGCTCACCCCTTAACTGAGCTCTGTTATCACCAGTATTGCTTCTGTTTAGCGGGCTTGCCCTCATCCATAGCACAAGTCTTTTTTTTTTTTTTTTTTTTTAGGGAGGGGGAAAGAGGGAGAGAGAGAACTAGAGAAACATCAGTGTGAGAGAAAAACATCAATGTGAGGGACATCAATTGATTGCGTCCCATATGCCCCAAGGGCAGAGATCAGACCTGCAACCCAGGTACCTGCCCTTGACCAGAATCAAAACCATGACCTTTCAGTCCACAGGCCGACACTCCAAACACTGAGCCAAACCGGCTAGGGCCATAGCACAGGTCTTAAGTGCTCTGCATGGAAAATCAGGCAACAGTCCACCATTGAGCAACAGTGGTTAAAATGCTTAGTAAATTAAGAGGAAAATATTTTATAAATATTTTTTTATGTATCTATTGAAATACCTTGAACAGAGTTGGTGTTAAATTAAAGTTTGATGAAGAAATAAGTGGAAGATTGGGGGAAAAAAAACTCTTATAGATAATACAATACCAATCTCCTGACAGCTATAGCAATGTCCTTAAGAAAGATGGTAGCTTCTTCGTTGCATTTAAAATAGTCACTTTGCAGTGATTGTTCTAAAAAAAAAGTAGAAAATTAAGATCTCATATTTATCTGTTCAAATCCTATTTAACCCTTTAAGATCTAGCTCAAATGTTTACTCAGCTGGAAATTATATCTTCTATCTCTGAATTTCTGTAGTGCTTTATATAAATCTATTTTGTACTTGTTATTTTCTATTCCATTCTATTCTAATTTAGGGATATATTTTATGCTCCTTGAGTCCATTTTTGCATCTCATGGTGAAAAGGTGGATGTTTATAGCATAGGCAAGAAATTCAACAAACATTTATGAAAGATATAAATATAATAAGCCTATAATGTAAGTTTATATAGGAATGTTTTCATATATGTTAGTATTTTGCCCCAAAACACACATTTAATTAACTGTATAACAATCTAAGTCAACTCTTATAAACTTATGATGATTTCTATTTCACAGGTAAGAAATCTAAAACTTTGAGGTCATGTCTTTTGTTCAAGGTCACAGAGCCCATCACTGATAGAGTCTGGATTCAAATGTAAGTGGTGTGACTACAGGGTCCATGCCCTAAAGAGCTCTATTTACTTTCAGAAAAGTAAATAGCAATTTCTGCCCTCACTTCCAGGGAACTTGAATACTCTTAATGAAATAAGCTCTCAAACCAAGTGAAAATCAGTTATGGAGTTTGCAAGCAAGTGTGTGTTAGAGAGGGACGGGCATTGCCTGATATTTCCTTTTCTTTCTTCTAAGGCAGTGGTTCTCAACCTTCCTAATGCCGTGACCCTTTAATACAGTTCCTCATAAAATTATTTCGTTGCTACTTCATAACTGTAATTTTGCTACTGTTATGAATCATAATGTAAATATCTGATATGCAGGATGTATTTACATTGTTACAAATTGAACATAATTAAAGCATAGTGATTAACCACAAAAACAATATGTAATTATATGTGTTCTCCGATGGTCTTAGGCGACCCCTGTGAAAGGGTCGTTCGACCCCCAAAGGGGTCTCGACCCACAGGTTGAGAACCGCTGTTCATAGGAATGAATGAACCCAAGAGCTTGATCCCATTTGCAAAGGAGTTGGAGAGCTACTACATATTTTATAACTCACACTAAGGACAAGAGGCTCAATTAAGTTTTTCTTCCTAAGAAACTTTCTGAAGGTTCAAAAATTAGCAGGAAAAATATTTGTGAGTGAATGGGTATACTGATCTAGACGACCTAGGACAAACATGAAAATACTCCTCCAAAACTTGTAAGAATTGTGAAGTTAAATTCGTTCATCTAAGAAGGATAAAAGAAACTATCCCAAACTGAGTAACATTATGATAGATATCAGTAAAGTTATCTGGAAACAATGAGATTATTAGAGTAAAGCAAGGAGATGCTTTGTTGTTTGGTGTAAATGGTTTATGAGCTGAACAAGACACCCTTCCTTGGACTGTCGCACCTTAAGCTTATGTAACTTGATTACAGGTTTAGCTTCTTAAATGAAGAAGTATTTTAACCTGGCCTCACCCAAGGTTATTATCTGTTTCACCTCCTTAACACCCTTCTCTAATATTCCTTGCCTAATATGACAAGAGCTTCTTAAACACTCCTGTCGTATTAGGCAAGAAGATGCTTTCTTGTTTGCCTGTTAAATTTTCCAGTTTGCCATGGCACAATGTTGGAGGAAATTAACTTGTGAAGGAAAGTCACCAAGGGAAAAGGGAAAACTGAATGCACAATCTAATGCAGGTGGGCACTCCAGTTGCAGATAAATGGCAATGGCCTGGGAGTCCAGGATTTGTCACCAGCTACTGGTGTGAGTTGGGCCAAGCCACTCCAGTGGCACGACAGCACGAGGGCTGAGCCCTGGGTCCCACCCTGGCCCCTCTCTCTAACCCTAGGACTGGAGAAGCCTCTGCTCAAGCCCGGGATGCACTGAAGGTTCCTGCTGAGCTGAGCGCCCCCTCTCCGAGGACTCCCTCCCAGCGCCCGCGGGCCTCTCACCCACAATAAAGAGCTGCTCCAGCGCTGCGGTCGCGACTACGGAGCCCAGAGTGGAGGGGAAGGTGCTAAAATCCAGGGAGGGGCCCGTGGAGACGGCGACCTGCTTCAGCTTTTCGCCGAACCCCAGCTCCGGAGACCAGGAGTGTAGCGCCATCTTGCTGCTCCTGCGCCGCCCACTTGACCAGAGGCAAGGACGCCCGCCCGTTGCCACGGGCAACAAGGTCGCCCACGCAGGCGCACCAGCTGTGGCCCGCCCGGCGGAGTCTCTAGCTACATTCACAATAATTAAGCTGTACCGGAAGGAACCCCTCTGGAGCGGTCCTTCTCTCCAAGTCATTTCTTTAGTGCAGCCCTCGCACCTGTCTCGTGGACCTTGGGCATCAATAAGGATCGTCTTTGAGCGCGGCTCTGTGCCAGGCACTCCTGGAGGAGCTTAATTTTCACAGTGACTTTGTGAGGCAGGTTCTTTCACACACGTGCTAATTTTAGATGAGCCTAGGAGGTAGTTGCACACCTGCAAGGTATTTTGTGGTTTCACAAAACGTCCATTTTGTAACTGCTCCCATGACTTACTTAGTCTTTGTCATAACGCTCCAGGGAGATGATGATGGTTATCCCATTTTTCAGAACATCTTACTGAGGTGAGAGATGCAGTAACCTTGGGGGTAACCTCTGGCCCGGCCCTGAGGATTGGACAATGCAGGGCAGTTTCCCACCCGGGTCTGCCAGAGCTGCCCTGTGACTGTGCAACCAGGGCAGGGAGTGGGGCTGGGGTGAGGAGTGCTCGGGGCTGGACAGCCAGGCACTGGGGCGCGCCTGCAGAGTATGGGGTGCAGGAGCCCAGCCTGAAATGGAGGCTGTGAATTTACCCGTTGGGCCTTGAATTCTGAATTCAGGAGTTTGGGTTTTACTGCTGCAGGCAATGCTGCTCTGAATAGGAAGATGAGAACAGATTAAGGGGCTCCCTGCTGGCAGCTGCTTGGTAAACAGTTTATTTCTGCCTCAGGTAACATTACGGTAGAACAGAATATCCTTATCAATTACAGGCATTATGATTTTTTTCAAGGAACCATCTTGCAGAGTAATCAGAAATTAAACTGGGCCTGAAACAACCAAGCCATATTTGGCATAAATGTCTTACTCATTTTTGTTATTAAGTGGCATCCTAAAAAGGTAGCAGTGATCATTGTTAATGCTCACTTAGTATTTTTACAGACATTTCAAACACTCATGATCTTAAAGTAGCAATATTCTTATTTTTAATTTATTTAGTTCTTATTTTTACAAAATGTTTTAGATGATTCAACTGAAGATGATTCAGTAAAGATCACTGGTGTATTAAGCCCTCCATTTGATTTAAAAATCTTTGCCTTTGCCCAGGCAGCATGGCTCAGGGGTGGAGCGTAGACCTATGAACAAGGAGGTCACGGTTCCATTCCGGGGTAGCCAGGTTGCGGGTTCCATCCCCAGTGTGGGGCCTGCAGGAGGCAGCTGATCAGTGAGTCTCTGTCATCTCTCTCCCTCTCCCTTCCTCTCTGAAATCAATAAAAATATATATTTAAAATTTTTTGCCTTCTTCTTTGCTTTTTGTCTAGCTAAGGTTTTGTCATTTTTTAAAAAATCAACTCAGTTTTATATATTTTCTATTGTTTTTCTATTCCTTATTTGAATTATTTTTGTTTTAATTTTTATTATTTCCTTCCTTCTGCTAACTTGGGGTTTAGCTCATTATTCTTTTCTAGTTTCTTAAGTGTACAGTTAGGCTGTTTATTTGATATATATTTTAATTTAGGCATTTATCCCTACAAACTTCCCTTAATACTACTTTTGCTATATCCTATATGTTTTGGTAATTTGTGTTTTTGTTTTCATTTGTCTTGAGGTATATCTATTTTTTTAATTTAAAAATATGTTTTTATTGATTTCAGAGAGGAAAGGAGAGGGAAAGGGAGAGATAGAAACATCAATGATGAGAGAGATTCATAGCTTGGCTGCCTCCTGCAGGCCCCCCATTGGGGATCCAGCCTGCAATCTGGGCATATGCTCTGACTGAGAACCGAACTGTGACCTTCTGGTTCATGGGTCCACCGACACTCAACCACTGAGCCACACTGGCCAGGTTTGAGGTATATTTTAAATTCCCTTTTGATTTCCTCTATGACCCAATAATTGTTCAAGAGTATTATTTATTTTCCACGTATTTGTGAATTTCCCAATTTTCTTGCTTTTACTCATTTCTGGTTTCATTCCATTGTGCTAAAAAAGTTACATGGTATAATGTCTATCTTTTCAAATTTGTTAGGACTTGTCTTGAGGCCTGACATGTGATCTGTCATAGAGACTGTTCTGTGTGTCCTTGAGAATGTGTATTCTTCTGTTGGGTGAAAAGTTCTGTATATGTCTTTCAGATACATTTGGTCTATAGGTTCACTCAAGTCCATTCTTTCTTTATTGATCTTTCTGTCTGGATGTTCTATACATTATTGAATGTGGGGTGTTGAAGTCTCTCACTATTATTGCATTGCTTTCTCTTTCTCCTTTCAGATCTGTCAATATTTATTTTATATACTTAGGTGCTCCGATATTGGGTGCGTGTATATTTACAATTGTTGTATCTTCATGTTAAATTGACCCTTTTATCATTATGTAATGACTGTCTTTGTTTCTAAAGACAATTTTTGTCTTAAAATCAACTTCACTAAAGAGTTTCATGCTTTATATTCTCACGTTTCTGTTTAGTGTCCTTTCATTTCTACTTGAAACACTCCATTTAGCATAGTAGGGAGGGACCAGAGAAAGGTAATTCTAGCAGGATTATTTTAAAAGGCTATGCCCCAGGATGAAAGCAATTAAATTTACTCATTGAAGAAAACGTGGCCAGCCAAATTAATTCTGTAATATTGCATGTATTGAACTGAAGATAAATTAGGGAAAAAATCATATTGAGGAGCTCGAGGATGATGCTTATACAAAGCACTACCTAGAGAAGCAGGTTGGAGTCTATAGGCAAATGACACTCCTGTCCGACTAGGCAAAGCTTGGTTATTCCCTGTCTAACCACCGCCATGTTGGCTAACACTAGGACACTAATAGTGGCTCCTTCACATCTCCCACCTGCTTCTCTACACTCAGAAGAAAGGGCTGAAGTTTGGGGTCTCGGAGATGCCCTATTCAAGGACAATGTGGCGATTGATAGAACTGTTCAGTAGTGAAGCAAGGCCCAGCACGTGGCCTTTCTCAAGTGCATGCGGGTAAGGGAGGAGCTGCCCCACTACTTCTCAGCAGTGATTCTAACAGTGGGAAACAAGGAGAAAGAGATCTGGGTTCCACATAGGAGGAAAAGTCTTCATGGGGGTGTAAGGGCCAGTGTGAGGCCTGGGATGGTGTTATGGGTTGAACTGTGTCTCTCCCCTGCCCCCGCCCCCGCCCCCCGCCCCCCGCCCCCCAAGAATATATGTGAAGTCCCAAACCCCAGCATCTCAGAATGTGACCTTATTTGGAAAGAGGGTATTTTACCAAGGCAATTAAGTTCAAGTGAGGTCATTAGGGTGGGCCCTAATCCGATAGACTGGTGTCCTTATAAAATGGGGAAATTGGACACAGAGGGAGGAGGATGTGAAGACACACGGGGAGAAGATGGCCATGTGCCTGAAGTGATGCCCCACATGTTGCTGGCAACCCCAAAAGCTGGAAGAGGTAGGAGGAACTCTCCCCCAGAGCTATCGGGGAGAGGATGGCCCTGCCGACACCTTGGTTTTAGACTTCCAGCTTCCAGAACTGCGAGAGAATACATTTCAGTTGTTTTAATAAGAATTTTCTACTGTTTACAGCTTTCAGAATAACCTCACTCACTGTGGGTCCCTGGGGGCTCTGTCCTTGGTCCTCTTCTTTCCTGTTCACTGGGCCCTCCCATTGTATCTATCATCTTGAATATCAACTTAACAGATGCTTCCTGTAGAAGCAGGATATTATGTGCCCTTTATTCCATTTGGTAAAATTCTATATCCATGCCTATCATTTTGTAAGGCTGGACTGTCCTCAGGAAATTTTCTTCACGACTGTTAGCAAATGCAATTCCTCATAAGATCCTCCTACTGAGAAGCTGCTTATGCAAAGAATTCTGGGCCCATAAGTATGAGGAAAATGCTGCCAATGCAGATATTGGGGAAGGTTAATTCGGCATAAAGGAGCCATTTAGAAGAAACTTCATCTTCAAGGTTGGAGACTGAAATACACACATGAAAAAAACATCCTCTTCTGTATCTAGTAACCATAAAAAATAGTAGGGACCAAACTAAGCTTATTGTCTTCCTTCCCAAACCAGCTCTTTTAGGCTTTCTATTCTCAAAAATGGTCTTGCATTCTCCTGATCAGCTAGTATTAGACGGAGGTGAGCGAGGGCGGGCATGCGAGCTGCCTAGCGTGCCTAGGAAGCACTAACTCTCAGGTTGGCCTTGGTTGAAACACCGTATCTAATCGCCAGCGCCAGTCTCATCTCTCTCCATGTAATCTCTTAGGCCAGTGATGGCGAACCTATGACATGTGTGTCAGAGGTGACACTTGAACTCATTTTTTTTGGTTGATTTTGCTTTGTTAAATACCACTTAAATATAAAAAATAAATATCAAAAATATAAATCTTTGTTTTACTATGGTTGCAAATATCAAAAAATTTCTATATGTGACACGGCACCAGAGTTAAGTTAGGGTTTTTCAAAATACTGACATGCCGAGCTCAAAAGGGTCGCCATCGCTGTCTTAGGCAGTCCTTTGTGCATAGTGGGTGCCTGGCAGGTTGGGCTGATATAAAGGATCAGGAACAGGTGGATACCTCCTTTCTATTCTCACTGTGGCTACTTTAGTAGAGGCCTAGTCATTTGACGCCTGCTTGCTGTTAGTTATGTGATAGTTGTTTCCTATAGTCTTCTAATCTCTAGTATCAGGCACCCTCCGTGTGTTTATGCGACTCTGAGATCTAAAGAACAAAGACCAGGCCCTTGGTGTTTCTTTCTAGTGTGATCTGGACCCAGCCCGTCAGCCTTAACTGACACGACCATTCCCACCCCAAGCACCTTGCAGCCCAATCCAGCTTATTACACACGGGTGTGCCATGCACTACCATGTCTTAGCACCTTAGTTCATGTTCTTTCTTTATGCTGGAATGAACCTTCTCTGTCTGGAGAAAGCCAATCAGGACCCAGCCCCAAAGCTCACCTTCTCTGTCGCTCCTATGTCATGCTGCCTTTTATTTAGTTAGCATTTCCACAGAGCCACCCCCCACCTCCCCCATTTTGGCTGTTGGCACAGTGTCCAGTTGCCCTGCGGTCTCCATAAGTGCTTATGAAACCTGCATACAGGTCAAAGGCAGCTTTTGTAACTATTCCTTTTATCTCCCTCTACTTTTATTCCTCCCACTGTTCCAACTTGCATCCACTTCTACCAGGTCATCCTTGACTTTTGACTCTAAGAGTGAAATCAAATGTGCAACTGGACTTTTGACAAAAAGTGAGCAATGGTTAGAAGACTTGTCTTGGTGATGGCAAGAATTATAGTCTCTCTTATTCACAGTCCTAGTCTCAGGACTAGGGGCTCACACGTCAGGGGCTCAATAAATAATTCCAAAAAGAGTGAGTTCGTAGCAATTTTAATTGTTTCATACCAGTGTTGTGTTGTATATTATAAGAATTTTATGGAAGGATTTATATAACTTCCAATTTTAAAAAACTACTTAAAATATCTGTGCCAACCACACAATATAATATACAGTCTTTTCCAGTTTGGGTGATTTCTATTAATAGCCCAAAGTAGCCAGATGCCAGGTTGGGGTTGGACCTTATGGTCCTGGAGACAGAAGAAAAATGAACACTTGGTCTCACCCTTCCCAACATATATGTCCTCCGGAGATTTCGTCTCTTACAACTTTTGCATTTTCTAGTAAGACCACAAAAAGAGAGGGAGAAGTTCTTACATTTAGTAACATTTATTTATGCATTCAATACCAAGTACAGAAGTGCAAATATCCAGAGTCCATCATTAAATCCATTAGGAACTACAGAGAAAGTAATACAAATTGTAATAAAGTTAACATGCTGGCACTCGTTAGTCACCAAACATGTAAATCAGCCCGTCAGTCCCACACAACAGAAGTACCGCCTGTTTGTTTTGGATTTATTCATTCATTTAATTCTTTTAAGTTATACAAAACTGATTACCATAAGTACAGCCAACTGTTTTTATTTTTACGTTGTGTGTGTTGGAAAAACACTAAGACATCGGTCTACACTTCTATATATTGTTATTAAAGGTTAATCCGACCAGCAGCCCAAGGACATAAAAGCGATTTCCGCTACTGCGTCAGGGCCCTCGGCGGGAAAGGCCTAGCCACGGGAACATGAGAAGCTACAGAAGCATTGCAGGGAGGAGGAGAAGAACACCGAAGAAGGAAGGATAACTTGGGCTCGCACCATCATGCACGTTTTTTTAGCAACACGAAATTAAAAACCACATCTAATACACTTTTCTCTAGGCTTTAGTGCTTGACACAAGGGACTCAAATATCCTAAGAGTACAGGAACAGCCTAAAAAGAGCCGTTTCAAAGTTTGTCTCTAAGATTACGGTACTGGGGGGAGAGACAATCGACTTGCCGTGACACTTAAGAAGAGAGCTGTTACCACTCCAGACATTTCTGTGTGCCCAGTCCCGGTGGGATATCAGTTTACTCAGCGTGCCTTTTAGCGCCCGGGATTTTAGCCTGGATCCTAAAAAGACAACATCAAAGGTAATAAATCACAAGTGTTATTAATAAAAGGATTTTATGACATTATGTGTTGTTGCTTTAATTAGCTTAAGTGATCGAATAGCTTCATATTTCAAAATTAATAATCTTTATGTATGAATGTCCACAAACACATTCTTTTTTCTTCTTTTTGAAGTGGTTTTTAAAAAAACATTTTACTTTTCAATTGCAGTTGACATTCAATATCATTTTGTACAGTTTCGGGTGTGCAGCATAGAGGTTAGACAATCATATACTTTATTTACAAAGTGTCCCCCTCAGTATTTCTAGTACCCACCTGGCACCATACATAGTTATTACAATATTATTGACTGTATTCCCTATGCTGTACTTTACATCCCTGTGCCTATTCCGTAATACCAATTTGTGCTTCTCAATCCCTTCACCTTTTTCACGCTGTCCCCCAACGCCCCCTCCCCTCTGCAACCATCAGTCTGTTCTCTCAGAATCTATGAGTCTGAATAACCACATTCCCTTGCAGCAATAAGAAGAATGTATAAATCAGACAATGAATGATCCAAGAAGGCCATGTTTCTTAAAGAATAACTTTTTAGGTAAACAAAGATAGTGACTTATTTCAGGATTACAGCAGCTGTGATAGAGTTAGGTGACCATTTATTACCAGTCTGAGACACTTCTGAAAGAGAAAGACAGTGCTGTTACTAACTATTCCAGGACATTAGGCATAAATGGAGATGGTCCCAGGTAACGGAACCTATGACTAATCTCAGCGTAGCCAAACTACCCAGACTGGAATGAAGAAACCTGAGTCCTAGTCCCTGCTGTGTTACCAGTCAGCTATGTGACATAAGGCCAGCTAATGAGCTTTCCTGGTCTTACAACGTCCATTTTTAAAGTGTGGGTATATCTCAAAAAAAACCCAAAACCCAAAACAGTAATTTGAAAAAATATATGCAGCACCCCTATGTTCACTGCAGCATTATTTATAATAGCCAAGATATGGAAGCAACCCAAGTGCCCATCAATAGACAAGTGTATAAAAAAGTGGTGGCCCTAGCCGGCTTGGCTCAGTGGATAGAGCGTCAGCCTGTGGACTGAAGGGTCCCAGGTTCGATTCCGGCCAAGGGCACATGCCTGGGTTGCGGGCTCAATCTCCAGTGGAGTGTGTGCAGGAGGCAACCAATCAATGATTCTCTCTCATCATTGATGTTTCTCTCTCTCTCTCTCTCCTTCTCCCTTCCTCTCTGAAACCAATAAAGAAATATATTTAAAAAAAAATAAATAAAAAAGTGGTGATACATACATATAATGGAATATTACTGGATCATAAAAAATGCAATCTTATAATTTTTGACATTATGGATGGACCTAGAAAGTATAATGGTAAGTGAAATAAGTCAGGGAAAAATAAATCCCATATGATTTCACTTATATGTGGAATCTAAAGAACAACATAAAAGAGTAAACAAAATAGAAATATTCATAGATACAGAGAACAGACTGATGGTTGCCAGAGGGGAGGGGTGCTGGGGGACTGCATGAAAAAGGTGAAGGGATTAAGACATACAAATTGGTAGTTACAAAATAGTCACAGGGATGTGAAGTACAGTATAGGGAATATAGTCATTAATATTGTAATAACTATGTACGGAGCCAGGTTGGTACTTGAAATATCAGGAGGATCACTTTGTCAAGTATATGATTATCTGACCACTATGCTGTACACCCGCAACTAATAAAAAATGATATTGAATATAGACTGTAATTGAAAAATAAAAGTAAAAAATAAAATGTGTGATTTGGTTAAGTCAAAAAAATCCTCATTCACCATCAAAACACCTGAAAGTTTTGTTTAATTGAGAGTTTTAAAATTTGTACTTATTTTCTGAAATAATACTATTGGAAAGAGCATGAATATGACTCAAGTAAGTGAATGAATGATCATAAATCAACCTATCATTTTATTATCCTTTTATTACCCCTACCTCATCCACTTATATGCCTGCTTAAGCCAGTCTCTCCTTTTTACAAGTTGCACTGTGTAACTTACTTTGCCACAATAGCATTTATGTGAGTCCTCACAAGTCCCAGATATTGGTCAACCTGTGCCTACAACAAGGAAGAAAATCATGAGCACATCCAAAGTTCAAGAGGCCAAACGTAACATGAATGTTTGACTTCACACAGAACTTACCTGGTGCTTAACATACACTACAGGTAGAGTAAACATTGAAACCACAGCTGGGATGAAAAACAAATAAGAGTATTAAAATTCTGAGAGTCATCAGTATCTATAAGCTTATAGATACATGTTCATGTAGTTATGTAATATTATAGCATTTATAATAGTCAGCATTTTAGATAAAAGAGGACAGGGCAGCTCCTGAGGAAAACAAAGGGATGCTGAGCCCTTTACAGATAGTAAATCATTATCCCAAGAACGAGGGTAGATTGTGCCTTCCTAGGATGAAAATGGATTTCTGTCCCAAACTGCCATTGTAATGTACATTAGAAGAAGAAAAAACCCTTCAGACGAAGAAATTCATTATTAATGTGTAATATACTATCTTATACTCTTTATTGAACTATGGTCAGGGAAATGTGCAGCACTCAGGGGGATCTGGTATTTGTTCCCAGGAATCTATCAATTCAAGCGAACAGCTAGCAGCCCGGGAAGCTCTATGCTCACGGAGCGTGTGAAGGAAGACGTAGCACGCTCATCTGTCCTTACCCATGAGCAGCAGGGTCAGGCCGTTGAAGAGAGCGCCAACGTAAGTCAGGAGCCACATCAGGACTGCGAACTGAAAAGTGAGATGATTATCACAGCTTCTAAAACCGTGACAGGTAAGAGTCTCATTTCATTGACTTTTTAGATTCGAATTTGAGGCAAAATATATCATGATTTCAATAGGAAATGTAGGAGCACTTAAAGCTTGTCGCAGGATTACTGAAAGAGGGTCCTGGTTACTTTTCTCAGAACCCTTTTGCTTGTTTCTGTGTGGATCCATGAGCTAAGAATGGATCTCACATTTTTAAATGCTCGAATAAAAATCAAAACAAGAATAACATTTTGCTATATATTAAAATGATATAAAATTCAATTTTCAGCATTCATAAAGTTTTATTGACTCAGTGGGCAACCTAGGGCAAGTGTTTTAGCCTCTCTGAGCCACAATACACTTCCAACATCTGTAAAATAAGGGGGTTAGCCTGCATGAGCTCCATGGGACGGTACAGCTAGAAGTTTTCTGACTCTAGAATGTAATTTGCACTTGCATTTTATTCTCCAAGATGTGGGTGCCGGAAGCCAATTCCAGCATGACAGCAGGGCTACATCTGGGAATGGCTGAAGGCATTTCCCCAAACCTGAATAGGATACATTAAATTGATTGTTTGCTGCCAGACAGCTCAGGGCATCTTAATCTACATGTTATTGCCTCCTACTGGCCAAACACCTGAACAGCCGTAGGCTAATTCCCCCAAATCTGACGATGCCTCTGTATAGGAAACCCTGACCCTTTGAAGCGTGTATCTCTGTCTTGCCTCAGGACAAATTGTGTTAATAAAAAGCATGGGGGGTCCTGAGACGAGGAGATCTTACTTTCCTTTAAACTAGGCTCCTCTGACCCCCAAATACCTTTCAAAATTATATTTTGTCTCTGGACTCCTATTTAATCTACGCACAGCCTTCTCCAGATTTCCTGAACCCTTCTTAATGCTGGAACAAGAACCCCGGCATATGGGTTTTGGTTTATTATATTATTAGAGGCCCGGTGCACAAAATTTGTGCACTGGGGTGGGGGGGGGTGGCGTCCCTCAGCCCGGCTTGTGCCCTCTTGCAGTCTGGGAGCCCTCGGGGGGATATCCAACTGATGGCTTAGGTCCGCTCTCCACAGGGACATCCTTAGTGCTGCTGTGGAGGCAGGAGAGGCTCCCGCTGCTGCGCTGGCCAGCTGTGAGCCCAGCTTCTGGCTGAGCAGCGCTCCCCCTGTGGGAGCGCACTGACCACCAGAGTGCAGCTCCTGAGTTGAGCGTCTGCCCCCTGGTGGTCAGTGCATGTCATAGCGACTGGTCATTGCGCCATTGGGCCGAAACCGGCTCTCTGACATCCCCTAAGGGGTCCCAGATTGCGAGAGGGTGCAGGCCAGGCTGAGAGACCCCACCAGTGCACAATCGGGGCCAGGGAGGGATGTGGAAGGTTGGCCAGCTGGGGAGGGACTGCGGGAGGGTTCCAGGGCGTGTCTGGCTTGTCTTGCTTAGTCCCAATCGGCTGGACCCCAACAGTAAGCTAACCTACCGGTTGAAGCCTCTGCCCCCTTGTGGTCATCTGACAATGCCTCTGTATAGGAAACCCACACATAGCAACTCATCAACCAGTCGAATGTCTGCCCCCTGGTGGTCAGTGCACGTTATAGCGAGCAGTTGAGCGGCCTTAGCATATCATTAGCATAGTATGCTTTGATTGGTTGAACGGCCAACTGTACGACTGGACACTTAGCATAATTGGCTTTTATTATACAGGATACCTTTAGGGGAAAAACACAAAACTCAAGACTGTCTAGTGAGCAGCTTAAGCAATCGTACTTTTAGGGAATCCACCAGGTCCTGGACGAGGAAGAGTCTCCTCAGTTCCTTAAGCGTGTTGTTCACGTAAAACTGCAGGCAGTCCGTGTACTTCTGAATCTGCTCCTGAGAAAGGGTGATCTCGAGCTCCAAGTAGGCCCTGCCAACAAACCATCCCCACAGAGCACTCATCAGAGGGAACCACCGAACGGCTAAGTTTTCCTTCTTTCACTCTGAGTGTGACAGCTGGGTCGTCCTGGTTGGGGACGGGGAGTGCCAGCCAGTGGGCACCAGACTCAGTGCACTGGGGGACGGGAGAATCATGGCGCCCAGTGGGGCCCTGTAACCACTTCTGTTTCCCAAAGACAGCATCATAATGTGAGCAACTGTCCAAAATCAGCTCATTTTCTGAATTCTCTCGATATCCCTGGCCCACCAGGTAAATGTGAAAGTCCTCATGTCGTCGTGGCTGAGTGGACATGAATTATCTTTTAAAATAGTTGAAATATCTGAAAATTCTAGCTGCCAATTATTGTTTGTCATCTAAAACTCTTAAGATGGCATATTTAAATTCTGGAAAGTTCTTCCAAGATTTTATCTAGAGATCTCGGAAAGCTCAAGTGAGGTGGGCCATATTAAAATGCTCACTGGTTCTATTAAGAGAGGAACCTTTATTTTGTTCATTAGATTCCACATGTAAGTGAAATCATACACAAACAAATAAAATAGAAACAGACTCAGCTATCGAAAATAGAATGACAACTGTCAGAGGGGAGAGGGTTGGGGTTCTGGGTAAAAAAGGTGAAGGGATTAAGCAAAAAACAAAAAAACAACAACACAAAACACCTCATAGACACAGACAACAGTATGATGATTACAAGAGGGAAAAGCGCATGGGGGGAGGTAGAAAAGGGTAAAGGGGGACATATGGTGACGGAAGGAGGCTTGACTTTGGATGGTGAACACACAATATAATAGATGGTGTATTATACAAGTATACACTTGAAACCTATGTAATTTTACTAACCAATGTCACTCCAATAAATTCAATACAAAAAGATAATCATGTACATAAAGATAAATACACACACCAAAAGAGAGAGAGAGAGAGAGAGAGAGAGAGAGAGAGAGAGAGAGAGAGAGGTATCTTTAGTAACTGCATTTTTCATTTGTTCAAATGGTTATATTGAACTCTTGGGTAGATAAACCAAGCTCCTCAAATATATGCAAATCAGTGCATCCTCCTGTTTGGCCATGCTCCTCACAGAGGTCCACCCTCCCTCTCTCCACCTGCCTCTGCACTAAGACAGGCCATGTTGTCTACCCAGAGGATAGCCCTAGAGCACTTCCAGTGCCTACCTAACTCTGGGAATAGGGGTGAAGAGGAAAGCAGCATTTGGCTTGAGTTTATGGAAATATTATGGGTTTTCTTCCATTTGGGAAAAAATAATACTGGTTTGTCTAGATAGTATGTTTTGATTCGAAATGTACTCTGAGTCAGATATTTCTTTAACTGATAAAAACAGAGGAAAATCCTGCATTTTAAAATGGTCTCCTAAAGGACAAAAAAGTAGTTGAGCAAATTGTAGTTAGAGTCTTGGTCCTATACTGGGTATTGGGAGAAATAAACCAAATGAAAGATAAGTTCCCCTTGTAACTTGACTGTCTTGGGGGCCAAGAAAGCAGGAGAAACCAGCTCCTCCTGAATGGCTGAGAGCAAAGGTGGGGGCAGGGCGAGACTCTAAGTGTGTAGTCTCTGGTCCCATGACACTCCACTTCACTCTTCACACCTTTGGGATGGGAACTTGTGTAGCCAAATTATAGCCCCAGAGACACTTTAACTCTGCATTAGAAGAGGCCACATGCATCCCAAGAACAAGAATGCTCAGCCTGTAACTGGGTTTGACACTGAAGCCAGGAGCCAAAGGCTGGGAAGGGACATCTGATGCACAGCCTTTTCCCTTTTGTCAACAGGCCCCATAACACAGTCATCCTTCTCCCTTTTAGAGCCTGGCGCACCGAGGCCTTGATTCAGCTGTCCAGTGGGTGAGCCCGGTAGGGCGAGGCATCCCGGTGAATTACTGGGGCTGGCTGAGAAACCAATTTGGCAGCACCCACCTGTGTCATCCACGAGGCAGAACTGTCCCTGCTTACAGGAGGTGAGGGCACCTGCTGCGGAGCCTGCGCTCTGGGGCCAGCACCAGGCCAGGGGTGACTGACAGTCAGAGCTAAAAGTGCCCGAGCTCACAATCTAGAATCAGGAGATAAATTGGGGTGCGGGTGGGTGGCATGTAGCCGGCAGTGCTAATACCTCCCTTCACTACATTTCCTATATTCTCCAAGTATATTGTCTTTAAAAAAATAATTTGTTCTTGCCGAAACCAGTTTGGCTCAGTGGATAGAGCGTCGGCCTGTGGACTGAAAGGTCCCGGGTTCGATTCCGGTCAGGGGCACGTACCTGGGTTGGGGGCATATCTCCAGTGGGAGATGTGCAGGAGGCAGCTGATCGATGTTTCTCTCTCATCGATGTTTCTAACTCTCTATCTCTCTCCCTTCCTCTCTGTAAAAAACCAATAAAATATATTTTAAAAAAAATAAAAAAAATAATTTGTTCTTCAATATGCATTCCAGTTAGATCTCCCTGGTATAAGAATGCAGATGAGGGAACATTATAAGACTGTTCATGACCCTTGCACCCCTCAGAAGATCGGCCCTTTGGTATTAAACTTCTAGAGAGAGCCTAGAAGTGAAAATCCGAACACCTGGTCCTGGCCCTGTGCTCTGGACTGGCCCTGTGGCCTTGGGTGAGTCACTTTACTGCTTAGAACCTCAGTTTCCCTACTTGTAAGTAAGGACTATAATGCCATGCCTTCTTCACAGAGTTGGGAGGATTAATTGTTGAAACACTTTTAAAATGAGAAAACATTGTGTGTGTGTATATATATATATATATATCAAGAATTATGATTAGTATTAGGAATAACTAAATATAAAATACTAATGTTAAATATAAATTTATATTATATAAGTAAACTTATGTTAAATTTAAATATTAAGTATTTAAACCTTGGCCAGTATGGCTCAGTTAGTTGGAACGTGGTCCCATGTACCCAAGGGTTGCGGGTTTGATTCCAGTCAGGGCACATACCCCAAGTTGCCGGTTCAGAGCGCATATGTCCATATTTCTCTGTCTCTCCCCCTCCCTTTCTCTCTCTCTGAAATCAATGGAAACATATATCCTCAGGTGAGGCTTAAAAATAAATAAATATTACATATTTAATTGGTAATCATTAAAAAATTAAAAATCAGTAAAACAATAGGTGTTAGAATAGAGACAATTGAGTTTGTTATAGAAATTCACCAGAAACATTAGAGATTAGAAGAGAGGGTGTTAAAGTGACCCTTACGAGGCCTGTTAGGTCTCAGAGAAACATGACCCAAAGGGTAGGGGAGTGAAAGAGCGGCAGAGGGAAAGAGCCCGGGAGAGGCTGGGCCAGGGCCGGCCTGGCCGGGGCACTCACTTGAAAGGGTGGCCCTCGTCGGTTTTCTGCACGGCTTGTAGAACAGACTTGTAGATGCGGAAACTGATGGTGGCCGAGAGCACGGCGAGGGCCAGGTAGGCCACCACACTCACCACGCTGAACTGGGTCAGGGAGAAGAGCAGCAGCAGGAAGCTCCCGAACACTATCCCGGTCTGCTTGATGTCCCGCCAGTACAGCAGGTCAATAGCTGTGGGAGGAGACAGAGCACACAGCACTTAACACGGGTAGGGCCCGGGACGCCGCTGCGGCTCGCCGTGGCTGCAGGTTCTCACCGGCCTTCGGATCCTAAACCCAAGTGAGGGGACATAGGGCTTTGCCCAGGGCACTCACTGTCATTCCATTTTACTTTGGAAGAATCTTTTCCATCTCTGAGGATGATTCATAAATTCCCAGAGATGAAAAGGCCATTGACTCTCTAGCAACCCTATCTCTAGGAACATATCTCACTGGGCTATGCCATCTGCATAGTGGCCCAAATTATATGACGTTGAAGCAAAATTGAAAATACATAAGACTTTGTGAAGAACCTGTTCCCTTGCCCGGCCGGTGTGGCTCAGTGGTTCAGTGTCGATCTATGAACCAGGAGGTCATGGTTTGATTCCCCATCAGGGCACATGCCCAGGTTGTGGACTTGATCCCCAATAGGGGGCATGCAGGAGGCAGCCAACCAATGATTCTCTCTCATCAATGATGTTTCTATCTCTCTCTCCCTCTCCCTTCCTCTCTGAAAGCAATAAAAAATATTATTTTTAAAAAAGAACCCGCTCCCTTGTTTTTGGGTGGCATGGATTGTGTGTATCTCGAGGCCCTGCTGACAATTTTATGCCTCAGTGGTGGCCTGTGAGTGCACAGCAGTCACACAAGTGTTTCTGTGCTGAGATTAGGAACAGCAGTGGAAAGAGAGGGCCTGGCGAAGCGGTGCCTTCCGGAGAGTGACAGCAGGCCCAGGAGATCCCAGCCAATGCCCGGCCTGCCTCCAACACTGAGGGGTAGCGGCTGTACACGATCTGTGACTTAAAAATCTGAAATACACACTTTAAAATCGACATCACATCTATCATTCCGTTATTTCCCTCTTTCAATCTTTTTAGAAAAAAATTTAAATTCAAAACACTTTCAGATAGTACCTCATTTAAACCTTACAATAAACTCTATTAGATAGGTATACAGTAGTCACCCCTTACCCGTAGTTTTGATTTCCGGGGCCAACTGTGGTCCAGAAATATTAAGTGGACATTTTCAGAAATAAACAACTCATAAAATTTTAAATGTATGCCATTCTGAGTCACGTGATGAAATCTCAAGCCCCTGTGCTCTGTCCCACCCAGTATGTGAATCCTCCCTTTGTCCAGCGAATCCACACTGTTCATGCTCCAAACCTGTTAGTCATTTAGTAGTTTCTACATTATCAGATGGACGGTGGGGGTATCACAGTGCTTGTGTTCAAGTAACCCTGTTTTACTTACTAATGACCCCAAAGCCATTCACATAGCTTTTATTACAGTATATTGTTATAACTGTCCTATTTTATTATCTTATTGTTGTTAATCTCTTACTATACCTAATTTATAAATTAAACTTTATCATAGGAATGTATTTTTAGGAAAAACATAGTACACAGAGTTCAGTACTATCCAAGATTTCAGGCACCCATGGGAGTCCTGGGATGTATCCCCCACAGATAAGGGGAGACTGCTATATAACAGGTGAGGAAGGTAAAAGTTGAGAAACGTGTCTACTGACTAGTTAAGAGGAAAAGCAAGATCAAACCTAAGTTTGAGGCTTTTCCCAAAACAAGACAGTTGTATCTCTCACATATTTGGTTATGTATTAAATGTCCCCAAAAGTCTGCAAAATTAATTTGGGCAACCTGATTATGTTTAAATCTGTTTCTAGAGTTAGATATTCCAAAGGACTTTTTTTTTAAAGTGAAAGTGACTTATCAGCAATAAATAGTCATTGGTTATCTATTTACCTAGTAATTGCAGGATGAAAGTATAATAAAATTTTGTTCCTGCTTTTAAGAATCTAGCCTGGCTGGTGTAGCTCAGTGGTTGAGCATCAACATATGAACCAGGAGGTCACAGTTTGATTCCCAGTCAGGCCACATGCCCAGGTTGCAGGCTTGGTCCCCAGTAGGGGTCACGCAGGAGGCAGCTGATCAATGATTCTCTCTCATCGTTGATGTTTCTCTCTTTCCCGCTCTCTTCCTCTCTGAAATCAATAAAAATATATTTTAAAAAAGAATCTAGCTGGGAAGATTGGACATTCACTTAAAAATGTATCAGTGCCAGTGTATCTTGTGTTGTTGGAGGTGGTAAAAGGTGATTTCAAGGAAGGGATAGTACTGGGATTGATGACAGTGGACGTGGGATGGTTTGTGAATGTGGGAGCAATTTGTTAAGAAGATGGGGTGGATAAAGGGAAATATTATGAGGGATTCGTTGACAAGAACGGTGACTAATTAGCTGTGGGAGAAAGGAGGAAGAGCTAATTAAGGGTGAAAGCAACATTTCCAAGCTGGGTGAGTGAGTGATTAATATCACCGACAAAAGTAGGAAATCCAAGGGTGAGCTGGTTTGAGGAAAAGCTGACACTTGGTTTTAAACCTCTGGGTTCCGACATGATGACATCAACGCAGGGTATTTTGGCCTAGCCAGGGGCAGAGATGGAACAGGGATCAGGGATGAGTTGAGACTGATAATTACACGCAATACGCATTACTTTTTTTAAAGCTTGGAAATTAAATGATTTTTTCTAGGATTTGTTAGAGTATCTGCGAGTTAAATGCCAGTAATATCATATTCCAATGCTATTCAGATGAATGTATACAGTAGGCACTTGGAAATGCAGGACTGAAATTTAGTAAAAAGGACTGAACACTTACATTTGGCTGTATTCTGAGTGGAAATGATGATCGAAGTCATGAGAGTAGGGAAAACCTCCAAGAGAGGAGAGACTAAGGGATGCAATTGTGGTTGAGTAGGTGCTGGGAAATTCAAAGTAATAAAGAAGACGGTAAATAGAATGGTAGTTTGAGGAGTCGTAGCAACAAGTTAACCTTGAGGTTGAGTGAAACCTGGAAATGTTAGTGGAGAGGGCAGGCGGGGGCCACGGACATGTGTTGAGGTGGAAAGGGAATAACACGAAGTGGCTGGAGGCAGATTTGAGTCCTGAGGTCCTCCTGAGACTGAGGCGATTGGGATAGGACTGGAAGAGACTAGGAAAAGTCAAAGACCTGTGTTATTCACTACAGTTGTGGGGAGCCACAGGTGGCTACTGAGTGAAATGTGGCTGGTCCATTTGGAAAAACTGTGTATCAAATTTCAGGCTTAGTCCGAAAAAGGATGTAAAGTATCTCATTAATGCTGTTCATATTGATTTTTTTGATGTTGAGAGGCTAGTCCTCTGGATATGTTGGATTAGATAAAATATATTATCAAAATTAATTTTATCTGTTTCTTTTTTAATATAACTAGAATATTTTAAATTACTTATGTGTCTTGTTATCTGAACAGCCCTGATCTAGAAAAATATAGTAAAGATTCCAAAAGAAATGGATGAAAGGACGGCCAGAAAGTAAAAAGGGTCTGGTTCAAGTGGAAGATCTGTAGAGCAGTGATGGTGAACCTTTTGAGCTCGGCGTGTCAGCATTTTGAAAAACACTAACTTAACTCTGGTGCCGTGTCACATATAGAAATTTTTTGATATTTGCAACCATAGTAAAACAGACTTATATTTTTGATATTTATTTTATATATTTAAATGCCATTTAAGAAAGAAAAATCAACCAAAAAAATGAGTTCGCGTGTCACCTCTGACACACGTGTCATAGGTTCGCCATCACTGCTCTAAAGGGTCCAGTCAGCAGGGTTCGAGACTGGTGTTCTGAGCAGCAGGCGGTGGAGCTGAGCCAGGGCTCTGAACTGGCACAAGGAGCATGGTTAGAGGAGCTGAAGATCCAAGAGGACAGAATTGGAATGAACACCCTGGGCCCGGGCTGGGAATAGGAGGCAGTGAAGCCCATTGGGCGGATGGGCTGGGAGAATGGCAATGGCTGTGTGTTGTCAGAGTGCTGGCAAATGGCCCGAAGCTCCGATGATTCAGCGGGAAGGGTAGGAAGTGATGGGGTGTGATCAGAGAAGAGAATTTCTGTGTTCCCAGTCTGCTGTGCAAATGCCAAGTTTTCACATTTTAATTTTGCTTACGGTGATGTAAGCTTGTGTAGGAAGCTTTATCGCACCCAATCCAGAAAAATGGATATTTGAATAAAATTTCCTTAGAGCCTACGTTAAAAAACTACCAATAACTCTGTAACTGCAATAAATTACCCAAAGTCGTCATTGGGTCCAACAAAGTAGAGGTAGCTTTTCTCCTCTTTCAATATCCTCCTAATGTAGAAAGGCCAGATGAGAGGTTGTACACCAGAGTACACATTCACTAGGCATGCTCACCAAGACAGGTACATTACTGTATTGTTTTGCCAATTGTGAGAATTACGAGTTACTTTGCCAAAAACCATAAGGCTTTGGAATAAGAGATCAGTGTGTCCTATCAACCTGATAGACGGACTGGGTTTGGTGATCTCATCTCAGTCCCCAAACCACAGGTGGGGGCACACCTCAGCCTGCCTGGGGCTGACTTAGTGCTAATTCACCTAAGGGGTGAACTAGCAAATTTGAAATACTGAAATCAGTGCTACCCGCACTTCCATAATCCAAGCAAGAACAGAAGAGAAAAATAGAAGTGATCCAAGGTTTTAACTAATAGCTAAATGGAAATAAAATGCTATGTCAAATTTCTAGAAAACAGCCCTTTGATGTAGTCCAAAATTTTTTGGAAACTATTATAAATGTATTCCATTATATGACCTAATAGTGGCTGCAGTACTCAGAAAACTTATTAAAAATGTAGGAAGTAAGAAGACAGTGGTGCAGATATTCAAACTTCATTTAGAAGGCAAAATGTGGAATAAGGGAATAATATGAAATGGCAATAAACTGTGCACAAGTATCTGCATTATTGCACCATATTCCCAAATATATTTATTTATATTCCATCTTGGTCCAAAAAAGATTACAGGTAGCATTGCATCCCTTGCTGTGAAAAGTTAATGCTACTTAAAAAAAATTTTTAATTGATTTCTTTCTAGAGAGAGAGAAAGGGAGAGGGAAAGAGACCGAGAGA